TGTACTATATAACATTTATTTTCGCCCCTTTTGAGTAAGTTCTAAACAATTGCCAATGAGATGAAACCAATGGGATATTTCGTTTCGTAGCATTTTTTTGGGTTTTAGCAAAAGACATTTGATAATATAAAATGAGTAACTTTAGTACTTAGAGTGTTTTCGATTTCGGCACCCATTTTTATAGGATTATCTTCCATCGATGTAATATCTGACATTTCTTTTCGCCCCATTTGAGCAAGAGCTAAACGCGTTTGAAGATTATTGCAACCCAAACAAAAATGTAATACACTCCAGGTATATATTTTATAAATGGTTTCAAAAAAAATATTAATTAATTTAGGAGTTATTATTACTAGTATTAGTTGACTATTATTTAAGTTGGCTTGAGTTAAATGATTTATCTTCTAAAACCTCAAGTAATAAGATTAAAATACTAAAATTATTTTTTCGATATATGGGATTCCAAAGCAACTCGTAGCAAACAATATGTCATTTAATTTTAATGAATTTCAAAATTTTGCGATTGATAGGGAATTTTTTGTAACTACGTCAAGCCCTAGATACACAAAATCTAACGAACTTGCTAAGAAAGTTGTAAGTATTGTGAAATCAATTTTAAAAAGATCGGATGAAAGTAGAATTGATAAGAATTTAATGTTGGTAGCTGGAAACAGTGCTATCGTTGGCTCTAAGTTTCCCTAGCACAACTGTTAATGAATTGCACTTTAAGGTCAAAAATTCCAATCTTAAACAATTCTCTAAAGCCTACTTTAGTAAATAATTTTAAATCAGTAGGTGAAAATAAGAATATGAAAACAAAACTATATTACGATAATAATTTCAATGTTAAAAATAATTATGATTTTCAATCTGACCAAAAAATTATGTTTAAATATCTATCAACTAAAACTTGGAAGCCAGGTAAAATCTTTAATAATTATAATGCGCCTAGATCATATGTTTTTAGTGATGTCACGGGCCATGATAAACGACGAAACATTGTACATTTAAGGCCTGCCGGTAAACAGCTCAGGTATAATTTGTACAAATATAATAATATTATTTTGAAGCTTAATTGGACACGTAATCGATGTATTGTATCTCCAACTAAGCTTAATTTATAATTTTTATTATGTATTATTTAACATTTTTAAGCTTAATTTTTATTTTTACTGTGTATAGTTTCTGTTTATATATAAAAAGGGAGATGTTACATAGCTATAATACTTGCTATCTATAATATTGATCTATAATATCTGTAATTATTATATTGGTTATCGCATTTAGCTATTTGGTATTTCGATATAATAAAACAATATACCTTTATCACTCGTTTGTAGTTCATGATTTTCACCTAGTCCCCACACAATGAAACATTAACATATTACAGTTATAATGGAAAGTCCTACTACCCATAGGTAAAAAAAATTAATTTTTACTCAAATAAAACATATTTAATCATTTGATTAAATCAATTAACGTTTTGTCACATGAGTACCCTCCTGGTACATAATGTCTATTTAAATGGATATTTTAATTTGCTTTCTATAACACCTGACCAGTTTAAAACATTTGTGATTATATGGTATGTGCCTGATGTCCATTTTCAATGGAAATTTATATTTACCCTTCCCCCCACAAATTCCAGGCCATTTTTTTTTTATAAATTTACATAATATAATGTTATAACTCCAAAATAGATATGATAAGGAACAATAATAAATAATACAAACATTTTTATCATTATCCTATCACATGAAATATTCACTGAAAAGTGTTCATTACAATGGACATTAGGTAATTGTTACTACAACAAAGTTTTAATTATACGCTGTTAAGATTTTTATTTAAAATAATTAATCTCTTAAATTTTAAAAATAATCTTGTTGACTATCATTTATAAAATATAATAATTAAAATTTTAAATTATTTTCTATAGAAATTAATAAAACAATTATTATTTGTGATAATGCAATAAATACATATAACATTTGCTGCATTGAATCTTTAGTTTTTTTTACATCCTTCATATACCTTGATAAATTTTTAACAGATAAATTTGAATGATACATTTTAAAATTTAGAAAAATTTCCGGTACACACATCTACAAAGAACCTAATACACAGTGTTACTGAATAACTGTTTAAACGGTTTACACTAATAGAATTATTTACAATAGCAGCTTATCAAATAATAAATAGTATGCTTAGTACAAAAAAAAACTTGCAAAGGACATATACATATGATATTATTATTAAAATTAAAATTAGCCATAATAGGCATTTCCAGAATTAAATATATTTGAATTTATTATTGTAGAAAAAATATTGCAATCATCGAATGTCTATTCCAATGGACATTGTTTGAAACAATATAACAACTATTTAAACATAATTTATTATTTTCAAATTTAACAAGAATACACATTAATGTATATGTAAATTAAAAATTAAACTTTCTTATCTAAAATATTTATATAATTATAAATAATATAATTTATTAAAGTGGAAAAATGTTTAGTATATAAATGAGTCAAATATATAATTATTTTAACAAAGACAATAAAATTACTTAATTAATAAACAAAGTGTTGTAAAAAAATTATTAATATAAGTTAACTACAAATAAGTATTAAAATGAAAAATAAGAAAAACAAAATAATATCTAAAAACTAAATTTCATTAGAATAACCATCCAGCACATACAATTACAAATGTTAAAAACAGGTCAGGCGTTAACGGGGAGGAAAGATTTGTCCATTTTAATGGACCTTAGATACTTATAATTATAAAAATAACCAAATATTCCGGAGCCAAGAGAATACTAACGTGATATAAACTAGGCTATAAAGAGGTTTAAGAGGACTGCGAAATCTAGGAGTATATGGGTACGAGCATTTTTACTTTATCGACACGATAAGGACTTACCTGCTAGATACACGAAGTCCGTCGAAACGAATAAGGTGGAGCTGCGAAAGTTCGTATAGCACATTTAATGGGGACTGAACTAATTAAACTTCACAAAATCCATCCAGCAGAGTCGTTCCTCTGATCGACTTCCGTCAAATAGTTTTGTTGTGGGCCACAAGGAAGAACGGAACCACCGTGGCAATGTTCTCGGGTAATTTTCCAACGTTTCGTACAAGGTATTTTGACAGAAGCCGCCGAAACTTGAATCAGGGCCGTTAATTGTTATCGCAGTAGACAACAAAAATACAATTGTTATCGGTAGACCGGAGACGCGCGGACGGACGGTATTCGCAAGGCGAACCAAACAGCACGGATGAAAAACGTTTGACAGGGAAAAAAAGAAAAAATAATTATTGTTTGAACCCAGCACCGCGGGCAGGGTCTTATCAACCACGAATGATATCGTCGTAAGACGTTTTACGACGGGCGGCGACGACAGTATAACCACAACAAAAACGGCATGATATCCGAGCACACGAACACACTGTTCCCAGCATATTCGTCTACGCGCGCACCACAAAATGAAAACGTCTTTCGGAAGTGAATTCAACGTAGTGCGTTCGTTTTCACATTGGTTTCTTGTCGTGTAACCGAAACGAAATTACTGTTCGATATACTTGCACGAGTGTATAGAGCGACAATGTATTCTTTTTTGACGAGCAATAGAGACGGTCCGAGCACCAGCGCCGCTACCGGCACGTCGACGAGCAAATCGCGACGTGATCATCCGTATGCGAAACACGACCGGACTGAAATTAAGTAAGCCGAAACATTAGAGACACAATTATTGAAGTTTTGAAATTAAATTCATGTCGATTGATAAAAAAAATGTCTGCACTACGATGCGAGTAAATAGCTTCACTATGTTTTTCTAGCATAGTGTCATCACGCGTCTTTAAATTTGGTACATAGAAAATACGTCTTGTTATCTTATTAGAGTCAAAGCCATAGATCAAAGAAATTTGAGTTAGGCTTAACATAGGTATCCTCTGATTTTTATCTCTCATCTTTCTAGTATAATTTAAAACCAAGATGGATGTATATCCATCTTGTTTTAAACTATGAAATCACTTACATATACATTTATACACTATATTATAACATAGATATGAAACTCAAAACTTTAACTAGTAGAGAGTATCCAGAGTTCATTGGTTTACGCTATTAATGTAAATTAATAAGCGTAAGTTTCTTTCAAATCATTTAAAACCTAGTATAACTTTGTATAAACTTAAAAGCAAAACAATGGAAAAGTTACATGAAAAAACTCAAAAAAAAAAAAAAAGTAAAATAAGTATTTTAAAAAAAGATTACACTTCAAATAACTCTTAAGAATAATTAATAATAAAATAAATAATTAATCAAACCATGTAGTGCAGTGTGGTTATGTAAACAGTATATGGTACCTCTGTATTTTATATTATTTATTAAAATTTATATTTATATTTTAAGATTATACACAATTTCAAAAGGGGTATATCGATTTCTCTATTTCATTTTTAAGAATATCCAAAAAAAATTAAAGAGTTGAAAATTTTAAAGATTCCTAGTTATACTGTTTTGCAATACTTAGTTTTTTCATCAACATTCAGTTAAAATTTGAATTCTAAATTTAATCTAACTGACCAACATTAACTTTACAATGTTAAAAATATAGATTGGCACCAAAAACTACTTTTGGTAGTAACAAACTCAACAATCAATCAAACAAAGTTATTGATGAAGGCAAGCAACTTATAGTTGGAAGTGTTGAACAAGTCACACGTTGGTGTCAAATGTTATCGTCTTTGGAACCAACTAAAATTATTTATCAAGTATTTGGTAAGCATATCATCACTGAATAAATGAGACTATAATTATATCTTTTGAGATTTTATTTTAATATTTCAAAGAATAAGTTATTATAGTTTTTATTCAAAATGATTAAATATTAAATTTAATAATTTTATATTTTGAGCAAATTTTAGGAATTATGGGTTTAATAAAAACTGGCAGTAACAAATGTGAAAAAGTATTTTGTTTGCATAGTGAACATAAAAAATCAGGAATAGTTTGTGTATTTTATGAAATAGATAGAAAAATCCCAATTATACAAGAAGGAACACTGGTTTTGTGAGTACATGTTTTATTCATAAAAATATTATGTGTGCTATTTATTAGTATTTTGGACAAGGTTGTATCTGGCAATCTAGAAAGAGTTATTAATTAAACATTAAGATATTCTCAACATTTATTTGTATTATATCAAGTTAAATATAAAGAAATCATATGCTATTTTATACAGAGAAATATCTATTAATTAGTTAATTTGTAGGAAATTTAATAATTTTTGTTCAGATTTTACACTTTTTATTTTATAAGATGTTCCAAATATTTATTATAAAAATAATTTTGTTATTAAGATTTAAATGTGAAAAAAGATTTCACTGTTATAAAAAAAGAATTTTATTCATGAATCAAATCATTTTCTAGACATAACCTTGAAAGATTAAAACCATAATCATTATGTTTTTAAAACCTATGTAAACACATTGTTATTAAATTATATTTGATAATCTTAATGATTAAAGGTGTACTGGTCATGTTAAAGGAAAAAATAAATTACAGATATTCACTATAAGAGAATTAGATGAAAATGACAAAAATTCATTTGACAGAATATCTTTGGTAAGCCAATGGACAATAAATGACATTTTAATATACAAAAAAATAAAAAATTAAGTAACAGATTAAATATTTGATTTAGGTAATTTTTCTTCTTAAAGCAAAGACTCAAATAAATTGAATATATATATACATATATAATTTTTTTAAATTTATAATATTAATTATATATTATATATAAACATATATACCAGTATCATAAATAATACAATGTCTATTAAGTAAATTAATAATTATAATCTATCACTTATATCATTTCCATTTTCTTTTTTATTGGCTATTCTCGATCCAAATTGTAAAGCTCGTTTTGTTAAACTAGCCACATTTACTAGTCCCAATTTGAAAGCTGCTAATCGTAATAATAACTTTTCACCTACATTGTTCGGATATGGTTCTCTGGGCCAACATCTAAAACAATACAAATTTAACTTGTACTCTACTAATTTAACTTAGTATTAATTTACCGTTGCCATGGTGCGAGTCCTCGAACAAATTCTACAAAATCTTCATCTAAATATGGTGTTCGTAACTGACGACCATGATCACAACATACACGATTATCTCGACCAAGGTTACGTGATGGTATTTTGGCAAAATCTTTGTCAAACTCTTCTTTTAATGATGGCCAACCATGATGTTCTAAAATTTTTCTATATCTTGTGTAACCACCTAAAAGTTCATCAGCACCGATTCCAGAAAATAACACCTGCAATTTTTTTCAAATTGTCAGTAAACAACCAACATTTTATACTAAATAATTTACATTATTTATGAATTCAAGTATAAGAATATTGTAGTTGAAAATTTTTTGGGTGGAATTGATAAGTTATGTTTTATCAGTGTTTATTAGAGAGATTGAGACATTTTTTTTTTATTTTAACAATTGTTTAATTTTTCTCCTTAAATAAGTCTTAAGTAGAAAACAACAATTAGCAAAAAGCAAATTTTTAAACTTGAAATATTTTTATTTACAAAATGTTTTTATTTATTGGCATTATGGCGACCAATAAAGTTAGGTAATTAGATTATCTGACTATCATACGCCAGCCTCACAGTTAATTTATTATCTTTCTTACAGTTTTCTTATAGTAATATCACTAAAACTTTAATTATACTAAATTTATAATTTTATACAACTATATAGTATAGTATTCACTTCTACTCATTATACGTAAATTAATTTTGGATAGATCCTTTGTATAAAAAAGTAAATATTTTAAATATTAAAAAAAAATGTAATACAATGAAATATTGTTAAACTTATAAATAAATAGTTTAATTTATACAACAAGAATAACAAATAAAATAAAAATCAAAAATAATTTAATAAGAAATGTATTATTGTTATTTTTACTTGATTATGATTTACTGATTTCAATTATTTTTAATTTTTATAATAATAGAATTAATTATAATTAAATTACTTACTCGTGCAGGCGTTTTATAAGATTTGCCATTACAGTGGCCAAGTCCTCGAGAGGCAAACCATAAGGAACAACCAAGGCTATCATCCAAGATAGTTTGTAAAGGATAAATTAGATGACGTATAGTATTGAAACGTTTTTGTTTTAGTTCAGCAGTTGGAACATCTATCTATGTGTACACACATGAATTAAATATTCATATAAAATATTTAATTTAGAATTAAATTAAATATTCCTCACTTTTATTAAATTCCATTGCCTAGTAGGACATAAGCTTTTCAATTCTTCTAATGTGGTTAAACAGGTTTGTCTATCTGGACTTTCAAAATTACCAGAATTTTCAGGTCTTTCAAATGAAACATTTAACAAGTCTATTGGTTCGTCAGATTCAACATATTTAGAAGCTAATAAAGCTAATATTGCAGAATCTATTCCTCCTGAAAATAAAATGGCAATTTTTGCATGATCACATTTGAACTCGCATATTTTACAAGCTTTTGGAATGATTGTTGTTCTTTTTTTGACTGACTTTGTCAAGAATTGAATTAAATTACTGACATTTGTACAAAATTCTTTATGTGATACAAGATCACATAAATTTAACTGATCATTTTTGTATAAGATAGATTCTTCAGGGTTTGTAACTTGACGAAAACAGCTTGGTTTAAAATATTGTAATTCATTTGAAATTTTGTAATTACAATCAAACCGCGTGTGAGACCACTGAAATAACTGTGGTTCTAGAATGTTTAAAAGATAATGAATTTTAGTTTTAAAATATTATTGGATAGCAGTTTTCACAATAATAATATTTACCAAATTTGCATGAGTTTATATCAAATCTGAATAGTCCTATAGCAGGTACTTCTTCAAGGTCTGCAATACTTTTGTGTCCAACTGACGTGATTATCAATTTGTCGGCACCAATGTTCCATAACAAACTAATACGTCCTATTGGATCCCTGCCGACCCATAAAACTTGTTGTTCATAGTCATAATAGATTATAGAATAAGGACCATGTACAGAGGTCATAAGTAGTTCCATATTGCCTCCATCACATAGAAAATCCGAAATTATTTTTGTATCACTATGTTTGATACTAGTATTCATCTAACATAAAAAACATGTTTTACCCAACTGATGTATGTATACCTATGTCTAACTGGGATAACTCACTGTTTGATTCCAACTGTATACGTCACCGTTCCATAACAACACATTCCCTTTATGGTCCACATATGGCTGACAAGTTGGACGTTCTCCTTGTATCCATAGAATATTGCCGGAGAAAAAAGCAGTATAATCATTAACTACAATCTGGTGAGTAGATCCAACATCTGGGCCTCTCTTCTGCAATGATGATCTACACTTACTGATCTACAAAAGAAATGGTTCAATATCAGATAGTTGTGTACAAAAATGCACAAACATTCAATTAACAAACCTCATTGCATACAGCTGATCCTTTAACAAATGAACAGAATATGCCGCACATCGTCAAGAAGAGCAAAGGTCAACAGGAGCAGTATAGACTTTGCCAATGTCCAACAACCACAAATCGGTAAACTCATAAGTTAAGTCATTGTCATCTAGAAATTACAAAAATTCCGTATGATCCAATGATGTTAAATAGTTGACCCTCAGAGTCGTGACTTTATAATACTATGACGATTTAAAAATATAAATTAATTCAATACTCTATATCACCTCGTTATCAGGTTACATCGACGGCTTCTATGGTAAGCGGCGGGGCTCAAGATTCATCAAACTTCGCAAATTCTCAAACGATTTGATTGATGACGAAACAGGTCGGTCCAGCATATATCTACAAATTACATAAAAAAACGCGCAATAATCTCACACGGTAGATACGCACTAAAGGTAGTTTGTTCGTCAGCCGTCGAGCATGTGTCGTTATCTGTGCATCATAACTTACCATGCCGCTGCCGCCAACCATATTTGTTTCCGTAGATAAGGTCGTTCAGTTGTGATAATAAATTTTGAAATATCGTCTGCCTACTCAGCATATGATTGAACTAGGTATTAGAATTACAGAGATGTAACTTATCATTCACTTAGGTCATTCGTTCATCGTTCACTTAGATGAACTAGTTCATTGAACGATAAGATACTTACATCAAGTGAATGACGACAATTCGTTCTTTCAAGAATGATATAGTTCATTTGTTCTAATCGTTTAATTAAACTATGTCGTTTGTGAACGACACACCTCTAGCTATGACTTAAAATTATAGGCAACAAGTGACAGATGATTCTGTCGGTATTGGTTAAGGGTACTTATGCACTATGTGACTGCTCTTAATACAGTCACTCATCCAGTTGAATCTATCAAGACATATTCTATAAACAAATGTAATGTTTTAGGTGTTGAGGATTACAAGTAAATCAATGTCATTATGTTACTGTGATTTATACCATGTCAAAGAAACACACATTTCATAACTGATTAATAGATTATTGTATAAATTATATATTAAATTCTCAAAATAATATATTGTTAGTAGAAACTTATTTTATTAAATATTCCATTTATAATTGAGTAAGATTTATAAAATGTATGAGAACACCAATATTTGATTCTTACATCAAACACCTATTCACTAAAAATCATTAAATTTATCATTTTTATTGTTCATAATTCATATAATTGACAATTACTAAAATTACAGTTAATAATAATATATGAATGTAAAAATATTTAGTTAATATAAGAATGATGTCATCAAATTTATCTAGTACAAGATATATACAAAGTATGAATAAGACAGACATTTAAAATGTATTAAACTACTCTATCTGTATTGATGAGGTGTTCCAGCAGCCTTGACATTTGTCTTCATTCCTGGGGGCGGTTTAGGCATCATACCCATTGGTGGTGTATTAGGACCCATGCTAGGAGTTACTGGTCTACCTGTAGGCGGTACCATCATTCCACCAGGAGATACTTGTGGCACCATCGGTTTTAAATTCTTACCCATGCTAATAGCTGACACTAGTGTATGTAGGTCAGCAACCGATGATGTTTGACCAATACCAACTCGAGCTCCAGTTTCTACTTCCCATTCTTCTCTGGCTTTTGAAACCAGGTCCAAAACATGATTGACAACTTTGTTAAATGCTGCTAGCTGTTTCTGAGCAGTTTCAAACTGCAAACCACTAGCTTTGTGTTCAACCTGGGGGGGAAAATAATATTGCTGTTAAGGTAAAATGGTTTTGTTTGGACACAGGTCAAAACAATTAAGATATTTTGTTTTTATACAATAATACATCACAAACCTGCATAAGTTTATGCTCAACCTCGGGTTCAGTCTTTGTACGCAAGAAGTCTGGCACAATATCATGGGATAACGCTGGCACACGGTTCTCAGTGATACGAGCTAGTTCTTCATCACGTTCAGGGTTCAACATAAGCGGCAGTACACTGTAGTTGCGCAACTGTGGTAATTTCTCATACGACAAATACTTCATGATAGCAGTGTACTGCGTGGAAAATACCGCAAACGTGTCCAGCACAGTGGTCCAGCTCACATTGTCCCGTTCATGTTCCAACTTGAATATAAGAGAGTATATCTGACCTTTGAATTCGTTCAGCTTGCTCTGGAAGTTCTCTAGCACTAACTCCAGTTGTTTGTCATCGCGCTGCATTTTCGGCGACTTATACTTCAGTTCCGACGATGTTAATGTTAATTATCATTTATTGTATCTTTAGATCATATACAATTGAAAATTATCTACGATTGTATCATTCGTCATTCCACGTTATCATTTTCATGCGATGCGTAGCGGTGAGTTGCGTATCCGTAGCTATCGTCGACGGCGGTGATAAGCCTCCGTGATCGACCGGCCGGGTACGTAATCGCATTGTTGTTATCGCGAGTAAATGTGTTCGTTATTTCACGTTTTCAAAATGTATCGGTTATGTTTTAATAAAAATCATGTTTTCAATGCCACAAAGTTTCTTAAGTTCTCGTGTTTCAGTTTTAGTATAGTGGCATTTTTATCTTCATTTTAGTGTCCGGCGGCCATAGCCTTCGTGGTGAATACTATCGGCACCATTTGGCTCTCGTTTTTGTGTCTTGCTCATCATTATTATTCGTTAGTCGTTCTACAGCCCGGCTGTAACAGCCTTATTGTACAAACCACGTTATCTGTGTTTGTATATATTTCGTGTCGGCTGTTTTGATAAGTATCGTTCTGCGCAATTGCATTGCTTTCAATTCATAGTCACCGTGTTCTAGATAGGTCACTTACCAACAGCCAGTGGCGTATTTAGAAACTTATTTTGGGGGAGGGAGTGTCATACCTAATAGTGAAATAATTTTATAAATTAGTATAAAATGTTCTTTATCGACTTATTGTTTAAATAATAATAATAAATAACTAAATTAAACGTATGATCGTATTAATCGTATTTTATATTACTTTTGTTGCGCATAGTGAATACTAGAGATCTGCACGGACCGTGCCATAATTTAAATATTGAGGGGTTGGTTATGGGAGGGAACGGAGCATTTATTTCTTTGGAATGGGCCGGTCAAAAAATAAAACTATCTAAATATAAGAGTACAATACTAATGGCGATTATTGGCGTTGGATAAGGAAATGTTTCCAAACTGTGATGAAATAGGCTAGTCACAAATCATAATAAAAATGTATCTATATTATTAGTGTATGCGATATTAATAACAATAGATCATTGATGAAAACAAATAATACATTTTACGGACGGGCCCCGTCGGATTGGTCTTCAAAAAAAAAAAAATTAAGTACCGGATTTAGGTGGGGACATTTTGTAAGTTTAAGTTTCGGAACGGATCGTACCGAAAAAACAATCAGTACAGATCTCTGGTGCATACTGACTAGTGATGTTAAAAAGTATGTTAAAAGTAGTCACTGCTACTTTTCACAGTGATCCAATGAGTAGCAAGAGCAGTGACTGCCACTCATACATAGTGATTTTATCACACTGTGATGATATCACAAATCTGTTAAGTTGTCCAACTGAAAAATATTTAACACTGTAATTTATGAAATAGTGATATGCTACTATTGCTACTCGCTACAATAGTACTAAACACTTGTGTGCGTTATATAGTCACAGTGTAGATAAATTGATATTAAGACTGTAGATACTAAAAATAGTGGGAATAGAAGTAGTTTACTACATAGAGCATGGTTTACTAATAATAAATAATTATAACATGAATATAATATAATATAATGTAATATTTTTATTAATATATAATATATTTTAGATAAAATACCATTCATTAAAATTACACATATTAAAACATACAAATTCGTGATTTTAAATAGATAATTATTGATATTATAATATTTGTTAATTTATTATATTAGTCATTAATCATAGGTAATGAATAATGACAAATATTATGTCACAATTACATTAGGTAAATATTATCTGATATCACGACGATAAGGGCGCCCTGAAAAAAATCTTAAATCAAAAAGGGCGCCATGAGTCTAAAAAGTTTGAGAAGCACTGGACTAAGTTATTGATATTCTTATTGACCGATAATTTCCCCACATCAGATCAATTACAATTAAATTATTAGCAATATTAATATTTTTTTTATATATATATATTTTTTTTTCATTAAAAAAAAATGAGTTAATACTTTATTGAATAAATTAACTAAAATTATTATATTACTGATATATTTAAAATTTGATGGTTTCAAATATTTTTTGGGAGGGTGAAAACCTCCAGCCCCCCTCATAAATACGCCACTTCCAACAGTCTTCGTCTGGTGCTGTAGAACTTTCATCTTCGTTGGTGACTGTGCTTTGGTAGTCGTACATACCAAGTGCTGTGACTTTTATATTTATTTATACACTGTGGTGTGTTGTCGTAGGCAATTATTAAAGTCACAGTGCTGGTGCGGTAAGTATATAAATTTACTTTTACAATATATTTTATTATTATTTATACATAATAATTAAATATTTTAATAATATATATATATATTATTTTATAATTCATTTTTAGATTATTCTTACATTTAGGTACCTCCCTAGTACATTTCAATGGTGTTTTGTTGAAAGGACATGTACCACATAATTGAAATTATTCAGGAGGAACAAAATAGTGTTTTTTAAAAATGATACCGATAAGGTCGGTTGATCTTGGATATACCTTCATATAGTAGGCATGTTGATAATTTGATAACAATTATCATTCAAATGCTTAGTTTATTCGATAAAACCACTAGCAATTCCTGTAGTATACGCCCTTTAAAAATTCTCCGTTAAAATATATATATATTCTTTAGGGCGTTTGGATAACTTATATCCGCTATATAGAGAATAATTCTTAATATCTTTAACCACCTCAATATTACAAATTATGCGCCTATTTTTCCTGAAAATTTTGATACCAAAAACTCATTTTTCGATTTTTTTGTGGTATACGCCCTTTCAACAAAATGCCATCGATTTGTTTTTATGATATAAATTTATAGTAATACACATGTTTCCTTCTATTCTTATTGCCTCAGGTTATTATTTGTACAAGTTGACAACTTTGACGGTATGGTATGTAGCAATATATGTACATGTTTTATCGCTAATTACAAAATTATTTTACTATATCGTCAAATCAATACTTCAAGATAAACAAGATACAAGTGTTCTTGGAACATTTAAACTCAAATAATAGATAATAAACGAATAAAATATAAAATTCAAATTCTATGGAACTGTATTCTGCAGTGTGTCATTATTATAACAAAACATACAAAATAAAATGGCCAAACGTGTCATTAATATGGGCAAAATAAAAATTCTTAATCAGGATAAACATGTGTGATTAAATTTAAAAATTAATAATAATAAAACATATAACAGCATACATGTTTGGAATTTCTATCAAATTTGTCGATTTAAGGTTCATTTGACGTCCAAGTACTTACCTATATTGTATTAGACTTTTGATATGGTTTTCGGTCTGAAATATTTGCTTGAATACTATATCCGACCATTTTTTCTTGGAAAACTCATGGCCACAGAACGTGCATATACTCCAGTTGAAAAGTCAATATTATCAATATTACCATAAATTAATAAAAACTAATGCATAAATGCACAGTGATAAAGTATACAATATAGTATGGTATATAATATTAATCAATGTTTTAATCAATACTTTTAAAACAATAATTACATTGAAGTGTATTGATATAATTATCGTCTTATCAGTTATTATACACATAGTAAGTTAGTAAAAATGTATAATATGTACATAAGTTGAATGCGAGTAAATTTTTAAATTGGTCAGTAAATTGCGATTAATTTTTGCCCCCCTCCTCCGACAATAAGAGCCAAGTGCCGTATATAACGAGGACTAGGGTTTATGCTTACCTTTCGTTGGTGATCAACCAAATTATATTGGCACTATGACTCATTTCATTTTGATCACAGCCAAGTTATTATAAATTCATTCTCGGACCGTTTTCGGAATCATTGTCGTTCGCTCTTTCATTCCGCTGTTTAGGGTTATACGGCTCGGCATCATCATCCGGGGATCCTTCGTCGTCCGATGAACCGCTTCGACCCACTTCGGTCATTATCAGCTGGGAATAAACGTCACGGTGCGCTAAATCGCCGACTGTTGCAGCCATTATTACCCCGTTCTCATCGTCGTCGTCGTCGGAATATCTCGTCCATTGGTTTTCGTCATAGCTGCACTCCTCGTGGACGTTTTCGAAACCGTCGTAGTGCAACGACTGTTTCGTCAACCGCGACGACGACTGTTTGGACGAAGCCGACATCTTCGGTTCTACGTTGAACTCCATATTGTACACTTGTTCCTCGTCATCTTGGTCGGTCGTCCACGAGTCTTCGGTTTCCTCCTGGACTAACGACGGCGTAGACGAAAACAGTCGTTGGACACGATCGACCGACGACGATTGATCCAGTTTCGCGTTCGTGCCGGCGCACGGTTGCTTAGCGATTGGAGGGAACATTTTGCCCTTGTACTTCAACGAGTCTATCTCCTTGCAAATGCTTTGTTTCCTCTTCGACAGCGTGTCGAAAACGTCTTTCAGATTGGCCATGTCGGAAATGTAAGAACTATCCATTGACAAATCTTCAATTGTCTTCTGGAAAATAAAAATTTAAAAATAATTAAACACATGTCCAAGACGTGAAGCGTTGCAGCGATGCTATATTCCGCTGTATAGGTGAACATATATCATTCGGAGTGGATACAATAGACATGTATCTAATGTCAATGAAATTTAAACTAACTGCACCGTATAACCGTTGTATATACTCGTATTTACATTGTTTTTTTCTTGTACGGACAAACACTGTTGGAGTTGCTGAATACCTTCGCGGACACCTTTTAAGGTAATCGTTTTAACAGTATTCGCTCCTAACAAGTCAGTTAACATTTCTTGATGAGCTCTGATTTGGTTCTGAAATGAGAATGTGAAATTAATAACGACATTCAACACGAGCACTGTACATAATATTATATCATATCGGATTAAAAAAAATTATAGCTTTGTGGCAATTTCGTATTCGTTTTATCTTGTAATTGTATTAGTATCATTTTAAAGCAAAGATGCAATTTTGTACCAACATAAAAGTAAAAAAAATTGTCCTTGTTATATCGAGTGTACTGATTTCGTGTCACAGAAAACTGAGAAAACATTTTTCTCGATCATATATATAGATATAAATGGTTGTATACATCTGACATAATACTCACTTCCATTAGTTTTACTTCTTTGATAAATCGTTCCTTTGCTTCTTCCACATTGGACTTGGCTTGAATAATCATACAATTAATTATGGCCATTTCCATATCGTCTAAAAAACTCCAATCGGTTTCCATTTTAAACTTTTTAATCATTTCGTCTCTGATAGCCACTTTAATTTTTTTCAAAACGTGCTCCATCACGTTTATCTCCGTGCGCAGCTGTTTGGCAAGTAACTTTTCGTCTTTGAACGTGTCTTTAATTTCTTCTATCTCCTTTTTCAATTCTGCTACCCTGTTAGTCAACACTTGCATAACGTTTCCATAAACTAAGATAGAGTTTTTCAAGAGCCTAGATTTGGTCGTTTGAGACTTCTTCAATACGATTGTTGTTTCGATATCATTTAATTTTAATTGCTTTTCAATCTATAATTAAAATAATCATAATCAAATAAGTCTATAAATAAATATTTAAAATAATTATTTTAATAATAACTTGAATACCAATAACAATCTATCAAATCTATATTAGTATATTTGTATTTCTAAAGGTATACTACGAACCTGATACGCTTCTAGTACATCTATGTTTTTCTTTAATTCATTTTCAATCATGATCAATTCTGCTTCAGCAAGACTTAAGCTCTTATTTGATAATTCTGCTTTTATTTTCGTTTTTTCTATGGCTAGTTCAATTTCATTACGCTGTGACCTTAATTCGAAAGTTAAAGCAAATAGTTTTTTATCACACCCTTCTGGTAGTATGTTTTCGTCAAATACTGTGAGTCGACCCATTTTTGTCAACGATTCTCCACTTCCGTTTTTAACAAATTCTGGCTCGGAGTCAAATTCACTTTCATCCGATGAAGATGAAAATGATTCTAAAACGTTCAATGCGTTATTTTAATGTTAAATTATCTATAAACACAGATTTTAAGAATTAATAATGAAATTGGATTGCATTATAATATGTTACCGTCATCATCTTCGTCGTCAGATTTGGCTTTAGGAACTCTCAGTTTCTTTTTAAATATTTTTCTTAAATGTTTTGCAAAATCATCATTCCGAACTTCCATATCAAAAGTATGTTGAATGTCTACTAGTTGGTTTAATTTGTTCTGGATTATTTTGTTATAATACTTTATCTCTTCTCGTATTGTCAGTGCCTGTCAATATTAAAATGCCTAATTAATTAATAGTTCATTTTCAAACAGTCAATTACAAAATTTTACTTGGTTGATTTTATCGTTTTGTTTTATAGTTATTAGGTATACATTGTACAAATATTCTTTTTCGACCAAATCATAATCGTACAAAACTAACAATTCTTCTTCAAGGGTAAGAGCAAATAATTCTAGAAATGTAATACGGAGTTTAACATTTTTTCGAATTTCCTCCAACATTGTGAGGTGGTCATCAAATATATTAATTTTTGTTAACATTGATTCATGTAAGCACATGTGTTTGTGTTTTAATTTTTCTATTCTCATTGTTTGCATAATGGTTTCTAGATGAGTAGAATTTTCGTGAAATTCATTTATACATATTTTTGAATATAAATCACTTTTCTTTGAATTTAAAATTAAATGCATTGGATCCAAATGATGAATTGGTTTAAATGAATCAATCAAATGTGGCTAAAACATAAAAACATAAATAAAGTTAAGTAATAATACTATGCAGTATTTCCTACACAACAGCATGACGTTTTAATACAAAAACAGTACATAATATGTTTATGTTTACAAATAAAACCGCTGTTGGATATTTTATTTTGTTTATCAATATATGTTATGGAACAGTAAAATTTATACAAAAAACAACCAAATATTCATAAAAATAATAATAAAAAAATATATATATATATATAAATTCATCATACATAAGACACATTTATTGTTACATTTTTTAAATGTGATCAACATTTTATTGTATTTTACAGAATTTGCTAACTTTCATACATAAGTAAATTATTGATACTAATTTATGTGATGAAATGGTATTTACAAATCAATAGAAGTAAAGCAGTTAGAGTTAATTAAATTCATATATTATAATCTATGACAAATTAAGTTAAAAAAATCCAAAAGTAATAATATTTAATATGTTTGAAAACAAATGATTCAATACAAATAATTGAAATAGATTAATTCTTATATATTTTAATGGTTTTTATGTCACAGAACAATCATGCCTGATAGTATTATAACCTAACTCTAACCTAACCTAATCTATGAAAAATGGGTCGATACATAATATTTTGATAGAATTGTTAATCTGTTTACTTGATTTTAAGAAATATTAATTTAATTAATACATTTTTTTCGAAAAATCTTGTGTTGCAAAAATGACTAACATTTTTAAAAATGTGTGTATGATAAACATTAAATGCTTCACTAAAAATCATAATATATATATATATATATATATATATATATATATATATATATATATAATAATTATATCATCATACCTAACCTAACCTAATCGGCAGTCATCAAAACCGCACACTTACCGTTCATAACCGCACACGTTTATTCTATTGTTAAAAAGATAAATTTGAAAGGTCGGTAGTTCAAAACCGCACACATTTGGTTAACAGTTCCTTTCTCTCTGCACACTTTGCATGTACAGTTCATGTTGCCGATTTTGTATAAGTCCCACACAAAATCTTTTTTTTTATCCTGGGACCTACTTGGGGTGATGTTACTTAGCAAATCGGGGGAAATTTTTGTTTTGAACTATCCGAGCGAGCGAGTGACCACGCTCGGTTTCGAGATGCACTCATGTTATTTTAAATAAATGTATTCGTAATTGATATATATAAGTGTGCGGTTTTGAACGATGACCTGTTTTTGAAAGTATGCGGTTATAACGACGCCCATATATACGTATATAATTTATAATACTAACCCTCTTATCATGACAGTATGAAAATTTGTGAATATAAGTATTGAGTAAATTTGAGATACAGTTAAAATTATTTATACACATGGCATATTTATATTTAAATAATTAATAATTTTACTTGAGTACATATATGTTTCTTACGTCAATAGATTTGTCCGCTATGACTTCAGGAAAATCTGTAGGAGTAATTATTTCTGGACTTCCTAACTCATTTTGAATTTCAGAAATATCATATTTGAACTGTTTGTAATCGTGTATCAGCTTAATTTTTTGATGTTTCAAATCGAAGACTTTTTTGTTAAAAGTTGATTTTAAATTATGTACCTATTATTAGAACACAAACTATCAGAACTGTATTAAATATTTCGAAAATTGGAAAATATAGACCTCATCTCGAACGTGTAGGTATTGTTGAAATTTGTCCTCGATCGAAATTATTTTATCATTAGAGGGTTTAAAATCGGATGCCGTTTTCAAATTGAAATTGCCAATCGTTTCCCATGCATTATCTAATACGGCTTCTTCTTCGTCTTTAGTGTTATCTGGTTTATCATTTTGCATACTTTTAATTTTGAGAATCTCTTTATTTTCAAAATCTATTCTAGCCGCAAACTTATCAATAGCACTTTGAATTTTCTTAGGCAAAGATTGATAAATTTCACGTACATTTCGAAGAAATATTTCCGATTCAGTTACTTTGTGAATTGGATTATCGGTTGTTTTATCCACCACCGTTGATTTACGTCGTCTGCTAATTAAATGTTATTTAATTATGAACAATATATTATCTATTAAATATATTTTACATGGGTAATTAAAAACAATAGCGATAATAAAAACAACTAATACAAATACAATAACATTAAAAACTAACCTTATAGCGTTTCGATCCTTTATTTTTTCTAGACTTGCAACATTTCATTAATTCATTAGTCGATTACAATTTTTTATGTATATTTATTATTGCTATTTAATACTTACTGTTGTTTGGAATGTTTCTTAGATGCAAATTCTTCCATTAAACTGCTGAATAAATTATGTCGTACTTCGTGGTATATGGATTTTACTTCTATGTCTTTTCTAGATCGATAAATACAATACACATTAATAACAATATTTTATAAAATATACTACAATTTACAAATACTTTTGTATAATTTTATTAGTTAAATTAAACTATTTAAAGTAAACGTACGAGATTGCTTTAACTTTAAACTTAGTTGTTATAATTTGATCGACAAAATAGGATTTTAATTTTTTTAGACCCAATAAGCTTTTTTCATAATCGAACGCAAATTTAAGATGTAGTTTGTTCATTTCAGACTCCGCTTCTTCGATCAGAGATCTATTGATACGCTCATCGAATTGGAAATAATTATCAGGAAATTGCAATGATTCAGGCAACGACTTATTACTATTTAAAAGTAGTTTAAACTTCTCTTTTAACTCATGTAATATACAACTGATTTTATCCTTTTCTTGATTTGCTAGGTTCATGGCTTTGTGTTTTTCTTTATTAATCTTTCTTTCTTCTAAACTAAGTTTCAAATCTTCTTCGGTTTGTAGAATATTATGATTCTAATCATAACAAATAATTTTATTTTGTATAACTATAAACTTTTTTTCTCTGCTTACCTACCATAAATTCAGGTGATCTAGGAAATTTAGAAACTGGAATAGAGTTTTTCTCGATGTCGCTATTATTACATTGAAACATAAAACTAAAAATGTTTCCGTCATCACCGTAAGTGTACATCATACAATTGTCTTGACTGAAACACAATTTTTTTACTCTTCCCAATTTGTTGTCATGTATTGAATATTCTATGTAATTACTCAAATTGGATAAGTCATCAATATTTACATTCGTAACACGAATGCTGCCATCAGCAAATCCCATTAATACTGTCAAAGGATCAATTCCGCTAAAAAATATAATTATTAAAAATTATTTTCCTTAATATAATGCGATTATACGAAATAAGAATAATTCTGTGTGCATATACATCTAACAAGCCTATAACTTAAAAACTATGATCATTCGAAGTTTTGACTGAAGAAATAGGATAGCGTGTACAGAGTAGGTACATTGTACATGTCTAAAAAAATCTGATAGATTATATAATATGACGCCGTATATATTAACTTTTATCAAATTCAACATTTTCATGGCAATCTTATCTGTTTGGATTTTAAATAAGAATTTCACGTTACCGTTTATAACAATTGAGTCTATAATATTTTATAAACAAGTGTGAAGATATGAAATAATTTTAATTATTAATTAATTAATAATTAATCCAATTATTCCCCTCCCCCTTTCCCAATATAAATATATAGCTTGGTATTGTTATTTTTATTTGATTTGAAACGTACTTACATCATTTCAATCGCAGTTAGTGGTGTACTATTTTTACCAGGTATAATCGTTGTATTGATTGGTCCTTGCGTTTTGAAATCATATTCGTACAGATTACCAGCGTTGCAATCGTCAATAGATACCCACAAAGTTTTTTCTGACGGGGTGTAAATAGCAAACAGTACAGGACTCGGAGAAGGAGAAACGAACCGTTTTGAAGGATCACTGTGTTCGTTTGAATCACCGAGAAACATGTTTTCGTCTATTACCTTACCGGTATTTTTTTCTTTTCTCATTCTCAACTGCTCCGCCTTTTCACATGTTTTCTCTTTTTGTGTGCGCTCCACACCCGTCATGTACCGATCGTGATCGATTTCCGATTTGATGTTTTCCGTTTCTATTATTCGTGACTCGAGTTTTAACAAAAATGATTTTTTAGTGTACGCCGGACGACTCGTGGGGACGTCTACTTCTACAATATGACCACTAGAGCAACTTACTAACGCTGTCTGTAACTGAAGAAAATAAAATTAATATAGAACCGTTCAATGGTTCAGCAATTGTTTAACGCAATTTAATATGTTTAAGTTAAAGCTACGTTCAATTAAAGTATATACTTCCGATGGTTTCCAATAAATGAAATTGACTTTTCCGAATAACGGATACATTCCAATCGGATTCAACTTAATTGGTTCGGTCAATATTTCGTAGACAAATATGGAACAATCGTTACTTCCACTTATGAGAACTGTTGCACTACGGTTTACAGTCAAGTAACCAATATCGCTCGTATGTGGTTTTGAGCTCTAAAACAATTAAACCATACACTTGACTTTATGAATAATAGAAGCTATCACGATAGCTTATTGAAAATGATTGTATTTTACTTGTATTTCAATAAGTTTTGATGGTTGTTCTTCGGTGATATCCGCCAGAGGCACAGCAACTAGTTTTAAAATTCCAGTTTTAAATCCAATAACAAAAACATTTCCTGTACTAGCGATCTGCACCCAAAAATTAATAGTAAGACACTCGGTAAATATATTCGAATCAAAAAAGGTTGTTAATGGAACGATGAAGTTTATACCTTCAGCGGTAACCAAATCAATGAAGTGACGGGTACTTTAAAATCGTGCATGTATATTAACTTTTTGTTTGCGACGTCATACACATGGAACCATCCGTCCAGCGATACGGTAGCAATGAAATAACCTATTGGTGAAGCTTGCAAGGAAGTGATCTTGTCACCGTGGAATTTGGCCAGTCGTTGTAGTGGTTTCGTGTTCGCTGCTACTCTGATGTCGGCCAACCACATTCCTCCGTTGCCGTCCTAAAACAAAAACTCATAGCACATTCATTGATATTTTCCAAGGCCATAGCCAAGGGTGGCAAGACATCAAATTGTTTGTAAACATAAGTACAAAGCTACATGTAGCGTTGCTTTTTGATCTCGTTTACCTCTCTATAAAACGTTAACATAGCATAAATACAATAGCAGAATTGAAATACAATATGTTTTGTTAAACATAGGTGATAAACATATACATTTTTATATTTCATATAATGATTCATTATTCTTTCAAAATTATTTTTCTACTCGTTATAATGCCCATAAATAGTTTTTAATATATTTACTTGAATGAAGTAATCAAAGGAATTCGGGTTTTCGTTGACTTTACACATGCCCATTATTTTAGCAACGCCCACTGAGTCTTGAACGTTAATAGTGAACGATGGTTCCATTTCCAATACTCTATCCTTTTCGGGTGGATCCGCTGTGTTTATCGTGCGGTAGTACCAAAACTTTATTGTTCCATCCATACTGACGCTCGTTAACTCCATGTCGTGTTCAGAATATAAAAACATAATGATCGGGGCCAAGTGACACGGTTTCCTTCCTTTTCTCATAACTTGCAGGTTTATGATCTCTTCATCCCATACTAGAATATTTCCCCATTTGCAGCCGGATATAACCTAAACAACGTCAAATAAACAATCGTAAACTATAGCCAATAGTTAGAAAATCAATTATAAAAAAATTTACTTTTTCATCTGGCATTGAAAATATTCCCACAACATCCGATATCTCCGTTTTTCCGAATCTGCCCAGTCGCCCTTGGAGTTTTAATCCAGTAAAAGTGTTTGCCATTTTCCAAAATTGTATGTGACCCGAGCCTGCAGTAACTAAATGATCGGGTATAAAATTTGAAAATCTACAAATATCAACATTCTGATCATGAGATTTGGCCCTTAAAACTATTTTTGATTCTTTCCAATCCCAAATTGTTAGTGTATTATCTGGTTCACCACCTTGAGAACACAAATAGTTTCCATTTTTTACTGGAAAAAACGATTAATTATTCTATCTCTGAATACAAATCTAACTGATTTACAAAAGCATTTAAATGTTGCTTAGGTACCTGTAAGTTAACCAATTGTTTTGTCTCACAGCACTCCCTCTAAGAACACTAATGATTTCAAATGTTGGCCATTCGTATACTATTATTAATGGGTTATTGCAATTTTCTCCAACAGCTAAATGATTTAAAACCGGATTTTTCTGGTTTTTTTTCAATCATTATTATATAATTATTTATACTTCAGAAACTCAAAAATGTTCAAATAAACTCACAGTTATATGTCCTATTCCTCCGTTTCCAGCACATTTTCTAAATTTCAAACTGCCATTATTGATGTCAAACATGTTAATATAGCTACCAGCCGCATACACTACCGTGTGATCATCTGCGGCACATATATTGAACATTTTGGAACAGCAATCATAACCGAAAGAATGACTAAGTATAAAATGTAAGAAATTTGAAATTTTCAACAACAATATAACAACACAATATATAGGTACATCATTATTATATTTTTTACTTTATCGTTACACTGGCTACATTTACGACTAAGAATAATTATTAATAACTATTGACAGTGGCGGTTACACATGAAGTTCAAGGGAAGAGGCGAAAATAAAGTCAACTTTCCCCCCCGTTGGAGCCTCCATAGCATTTATATGTATACTCGTGTATATTATATACATATAATATATAATATACATATGGGTTATAGGTATAAATGTATAATAATGTTTATACATTAATAATATTAACATACTTTAACATTAATGTATTAAAAAACAGATATAATTGTATTGACTTATAAAATTTATCTTGCTATAACTATAATAATAATATTAATAATTATTATAATTATAATTATATCGGTCATGCGCAACCAAGACAGAGTATATATTATTCATAATTAAAACGAAAAAATATTTTGCTATCAAATTATAATTTTAAAAATGTACAGAAAGGTGTTGTTAGGCCAGCGATATACTAAATTTAAAAAACAAAATCCCAAGGGGGCCATCCACCAATCACCCTCCTCCCCTTATAACCGCCACTGATTATTGATATTAATCAAGTTAGAATCTAAGGTAAGCTTAAGACTTGAAGTAACTTTTAAATACTGTACACAGGATATAAATACAAAGAATATAGGAAATATTAGAAATAATTTATAAAAAAAAAAAAAAAAATGGAGGAATTTTTTTAACATTTTAACTCTTTTGGCTTGCATTTACAGAATTCTGTATTATTTATTAAAATAACGCTTTTTTTAATGTCTTCACTTTTGTAAATTTGAATAGCAGGAAAAAAACAGTTAAGTATGACTTATAAATTATTGATGTACTCACAAAAACTTCCCGATTTAATGTTGATAAAATGTAAAACTCATGGAAAATATTATTATAATATCCATACTGAGAAAAATAAACCGAAGTTTTGAAATAATTTAAACACATAAGACCCCTATATCATATCAACATGATTTGATGCTTTAAGAAATATGATGTAAAGAATTAAATTTATGGAAAGCCAACGACCGTTTTAACAATCTCGTCGAACCATGTGCAATGATTATAAAAAATAACAAATAATGATTTGATTTGATTTCAGTTGATAAAGGATACCTACTGTATCTGTATTATATTTTCATCTATTCCGCATTTTTCGCTTTTAATTGGTTTTGATATGAATTCATCACTATTAAATAGACAATTAATACTATCGATTTCTTCGTCGTGTTTGGCTTCATTCAATAATTCCTTAACGTCACTATGTCCATCAAGACCATCGTCACAAGACATTTTTCTCAAAATGACAAATTTAATATAAAACCACAAAGAAAATAATTTTTATTAATTTTAAATCAAAAAAATGATAACACCATATTGTACATATTATATTGTTGCTTAGTAAAATAAGCATGCATGACAATTGAGCGTGAAGTTTTATCAATAATAATGTGCATTGTGCATTTAACATGTAAACAAAAAAAAAAAAAAAAACGCCGTTGGAAGTTAAACAACACATTTCAAAATACCAGCTGTATTTTAATAAGTTCAGTATTCGAATAAGAGAATTTTAATGATGATTTCATAATGAAATGTAGGTTACCTACTTTAAGTAAATAATATTTACCAACTAACCTATTTAAGAGTGAACTGAAAAAATGTCGGTGGGGTGATTGAAAAAATTTAAAATGTTATCGTGCATTATATATTTGAATCTATAAACTAAATTTTATCTATTTTATCTCATGGGAAACTTTGAAATAACTACATATTAAATTTGTAGGTCAAATAATTCATTTTTAAAACACTTCCAAATACTTCAGGTGAGTAGGGGAGGAGATCGATCCTATCCCTCCTGTGTTCATGCTTCGATTACCTACTAGTTTATTATTTTATAAAAATATAATAAAATAAATGTTGACTACTTACCTACGAATACGATGATAATTAACAGCCTTATTGATATTTTATAAAAATGATTCTAATAGGAAATCAAACATAAGAAAAATTCAATATAGGTATAAGCCCTACATTAAATGTCCTGTTAATTTTGTTTTTACTTATATTTTAAACCAATGATTGCTTACAAATAAACAAAAAACAATAAATAAATGATTGTTAAGGATTTATTATTATTAATGATTATTAAGGCACCTATTTCAATGTTTATTCCAAATGCTTATTCTTTTGAGAACAGTTTTAAAATAATGCACTGTTTCCAAATAATGTATAAATATAAATGTTAAAACGTATAATTGGTTATAATTAGGCTTAGTGACTTATAGCTCTTAAAAATACACAAATATGCATGCAAATATGCTTCTAAAATCATTAAAATATGTATTATAATATGCATTTATATGCATTAAAAAAAAAAAAAAAAAATGACCAGATAGTACACAAAATGAAGCGTGTCCATCGGATTTAAATATATTTTTAAGCTCTGAAATAAAACTTTGTAGTCGGCTACTCGTAGACTGTTGTAATTTTGGCATAACACGATGTTATAAATTATCGCATATGACGTTTTATGTACCTACGATTCGACGTTGTGTGGTTGCAAGACACAAAAACAACAATAATAATAATCGACTGAACTGAACACTAAAGAAATAATCTATTATTCTATATTGATTATTATCTTTATCGACATTCGGTCAATATCCAGCGGCTTATACGGTCGATACGGGTTTATAGTATTATTTATACTTGCACAAAAATTAAAACGAGATAGAGAGGTAATTTGCAGATAGCATATTACTGGAAGTATTAAGTCCTCTTAGTACATTATTTTTTCGATCGGTTGAAATATATATATATAGTTATATGTATCTATAGTTTTTAATTTCAAATAATAAAATTTGAGAAATTTGTCAAAATATGCAAATAAGCATAATAATATGGTACATACTATTGTAATCATTTTCACTATAAAATTTAAAATTTGTTAATAAATTCTTTTCTCTTTTTTCTATATAACTAATATCTGAAGCCTACCCCTCTCATCACAAGCTTGCTTAAAGAGATGGGCAATCAACTCAGTTTATTGGATCATTTAACTTAATTTATATTTATGTATTCTTCCTAAGTTGAGTTGAATAAATTATTATTATTAATATTAAAATAAACACTCTCCTGCAAAATCTGTCAAATATGCAAAATATGCACATTCAAATTTTAGATCTGATATGGCATCGAGAAACGAATTTATTTCGCACTCTGCTATATTTAACAATAATTAAAAAAAGTATCAAATGCTAGAAGTCCCTAAGCCTAGTTATAACACTAAAGCACAGGTAATAAATATTAATAGAATGGTTATACAAAAAAGAAGCGATTCCCAAGTTATGAGGCATATAGCAAATGCTTATGTAGTATATATATTATACTAACATATATTCATTTTTAGGTTGATAATAATTTGCTTTCAATTAAATCAATGGTTCCCAAAGTGTGTGCCGTGACACCCTGGTGCGCTGCGATGTCTATACGGGGACACCGCACCGTCATGAAATACTATCGGATCTAAATTTTTTCCGTATGATTAGTCATATTATGACTTGGAGAAGAGCGTCCTGAAAAATCTTAGATCTAAAAGGGCGCGCGCCGTGAGCCGAAAAAGTTTAAAAAACACTGAATTAAATAATAAAAATGTTTTATTTATTCATGGAGGGTATGATTAATTTTTTTTTGTTTTAGAGATACACGACCTACACATTTTTGGGAACCACTGCCATATAGAATAGACCATGCATGATAATGAATGTTTTATGAATTTTTATTTTTGTATAATTTTGACCAGTAGTAGGATTTTAGTAGGATGTAGGTTGATTTCATTTAGTACAGAAGTTAATGTATTAAGACATAAAACTATTTATTGTACTCAAATACTTAACAAAATAATAAAAATCTTTAATAAATAAATCACGGAAAAGTTATTGCTTACACAAATCAAATTATAACACAATTTCATGACAATATATCATTTTTACAGCATATAATATTAGTCCTACATTTTAAAACAGCAATGAATTAGGAGAAATCATTAAAATGTGCAAAACTTAACACCAGTTTAAAAATATTATAACATCAAATGTTTGTTTTGAACTCTATATAAAATAACATTAATATTGTAATGAGCAACTATTATCATATCATAGCTCATATACATGAAGAAAAATATAAGTAAATAAAATTAAAATGCAAAAAACTCAAATCTCATGTATATAATATACTAAAACAATTATCAAAAATACTGTTAATTAAGTATAAACTTTCATAAATTCTTTTCAGGACATGATTATAATATACAAATATTTTTGTCAAGTAATTCAAAATAATTTTAATAATTACAAGATACTACAATTTGTAACAAGTTTAATTAAAACAACTGTTTCATAGATGAAAAATAAAAATACCATAGATATTATAATGAGTAATAGAAAATATGAGTCTGATAAGTATTAATATATAATACATTTAAATTTATTACTCTAATCTAATCAAAACACCAACTAGTTGAATTCATACAATTAAGCAATGGTAGAAAGAATTAAGTTTTAAAATATAATTTTCAGATTCTCCAATATTAGTGAAAAAAAATATTGCTAAATAAAAATTAAATAAACTCCAAAAGTTTAAAACTTAAAAATTAAAATTATACAAATTATAAATTTTTTTTCTCAAATACGAACATAAACGAATATGAACAAAACTATCAATGTAATTAATAATAACAAAACAAATATGTTTAATATTACAACTAAAAGAAAGGAAAAAGTAAAATGTTTATTTTCGTACTTTAGAATTGAGTCCCCTTCAATTATGAAGCTTTTGTATACATATACAATTGAGGGTTTCAAGTAATGATACATTTTTTATAGTTGAAAATAATGAAAACAAAAATCACAGAATTTAAACACATTTTTGAAACTAAAATCTTTTTAAGAATGTTGACATTATTTGTGCTAATAAATATTAACTGAAAATTGGTTAACTTTTAGTATGATATTTATAAAAATTATTTAGTTTGTTCAAAAACCTAAGAATCGCTTTATACATAATTTTATGACATGAATGTGATATTTACTATTGTGTAAGATTATAAAAAGAAAAAAAAATCATAAAAATTAACAAAGAATAAGTATAAAAATAATTAAAGTTATTTACAATATAAAATTCAAATAAATAATTACTATATTTTAAAAATTATTCATTAAGTCATATTAGACCACATTACTAAAATTAATAAAATCTGAGAAATTTCTTTATCAATATTTGCAGATTTTAAGTATTATAAGGATGTAACGTTAGTTTTAATAATAAATATGTAACCAACAATTATTATACAGATCGAATATTTAATTTTGATGTAGATCTAGATATTTTTGGCCACCGGCAAATAGAAGAAAATATATATCTATGTAGTGGATTTGAACGCTTATAGATTGTTTGTTCCATTGTTGTTTGATCATTATAAATAGCATCCATTTGATCATACAAAATTGCTATTACAAACATACCAAAAAGAGCACTCTCCATGATTAAAATTACTGAATGCAAACTAGAATAAAAAATAAAAAAAATTAATAATAAATAAACATTCTATAAACTATGAAAATACAATTATAGTAAATTTTGTTTTCAATATTTTTAAAAATGTACAAGATAATATATTTATATTTGTTACAAATAGTCACTTAGATGTTAATATAATAATCATTAACGCAACCATTCAAATTAATTTATTAGAAGATAAAATAAGGTTTAACCAAAAGTCAACTCTTTTCTCTAGATGTACCAAATAGTTGATAATGGTATTAAAAAAAAGGATATAAAAAACTTACACTTGAGTTTGTCTTGTATCCATATCATATAGTTTACACTGCCTGCATTCACGTACCCACGACATGATAACCAACATAATAGTGTATGCAGAGAGAATACAAACAAAAAAAAGAAATTGTACAAAATACTTTTGATTTTTTTCTCCAACACAATTATTAATCCTACATAAACATAAAAATGATAAATGAATAACATAGGTATTGAATAAATTTAATTTTACATACTAGTGCATTATTAAAAAAAGAAAAAAAATACCATGGACAATGATGATCCATTCGTCTAATACAACGCTTACAAATTCGACAGTGATGAGCTCGTGGTGGTCGAAATGTTTCACATCTTGTACACATTGTCCAATCTTCTCTTTTCACTAAAGGTTCATTGACTATATATATATATATATATATATATATATATATGTTCATAATTATCATGGTTTTTTCCAAAAATAGTATTATTTAAAATAGTACCTTGTCGTAAGTCTGATAGTGAATCATTAGTATGTGGCAAAGGTACAGTGCCAGGATCAGAACACATTGCACGTAAATGTGATACTGTTAATAACAACAGAAATGTATTGAAAAGCACTATGTGAAATGGAGCCCATAAGCTAAAAATAAATAAAATATATAATTTATAGTATTACTTAGTACACTTTGTAATAATGAAAAATATGTAGAGGTTACTCAAATAAAATTCTTAATTATTGAATCTCACGTAGTATTAAATAAAATACCAAATTAAATGGTTTTCAAATAATTTTTTTTTTTCTCTCATCAACTTTATTTATATTTGTAAATATATTAACAATATTTTAGATGACAACTTAGAAAAAAATGAGCGCAGCTACACAATTAGTACTGAAAAATCTATTCAATCGAACAATATATTATAGTGTTTATTTAATATTAAGCAACAAATTTTAAACTAAAATAATGAACTAAATACGTATGAAACACCAAATCGATCAGACTTGAACCGATTAAAATAATACTATGTGCATTGATACTGTAGAATTGTAAACTACATTTTACTGTGTAGCGATCTTGAACAATAAAGATCCCTCAAATAGATTTTTAGATTTTTATCCCAATTATAATTTACTTTTTCTGATTTAAAATATGACCAAATTTATGAATCAACGTGGTACGAGTAGCGAGCGCTAACTGCAACAAAATGACACATAAAAGTATCTTTAGGTGAACGAAAAACAGTTACCTATCCTGCATGGTATGCAAAACCACCCATTTGATGACCACGTAGTCGGCATACACGATTGAAGTGTACGTGAACAGTATACAGAATATGCCACAAGGATCCTGGACCATTTTTATGGTTGCCGCTGGTACACTTCGGACCATCCGTGCGCCGGACTGCAAGTTTACATAATACCGTAGCGTTAATATCGCTCGGACACGCCGTCCCGAGCATACGGTTCTTCGTTGTCAGTCAGAGGTACAGCAAGGTCGGAGCTGCTGGCATGGCGATATAAAACCAAACGAAACACCGGTCTTGACCGTCTACGTCAAACGGCGATGCGTTCCGTTGGCTGACCAATGAGTTGACGTACAGTCTGAGTGTAAATCGATAATAATAATAATTATTATTATTACTATTTATATCGCCGTCGCCGTAGTTGTTGTTGTTGTTGTAATATTTAGTGTTCGGTTACATATACGTTTTAAAATATCATAATTATAGTGGTTCAGTTGTGTTTTGTTTTCGATTCGTAGTGATAACGACACGGCTGATAGTGTTGTGCCGATAAGCGTGGCAAAATAATGATAATGAAAACATGCGGGTAAATTCGTTGTCTACGGAGCAAATGAATATCCTGTCAGCTGTCAAATGCCAACGATCGTGGTTGTCAATGTTTTAAGTTTCAGTCATTAGTTCTTCCACCCCTGGTTATAAATGACGCGTCAACAATTATTCAAATTGTTGATTTAGCTATGTTAGAGTTGTTTCTTTTTTTTTCTTTTTCTATTAGCTTTTAGTAAAAACTATTAAGCTCAACAATTACATAAATTAATCAAGAAGTATTATACTTTCATTAGAACGAACACAATTTCCCAAGTCGGACTATACTAACAGTATACCGGGAAAATTTGGTCGACTGGAACACGTCAATTAGGTACTTAGAGTATATAAAGATTGATTGACATTTGATGTAAATTCGAAATGTAGAACTTATACAAGAAAGCAGGGGTGTCATTGAAGGGAACGGAGGCCAAAGTGTGAGGTTTTACGCCCAAATTTTATAAAAAATCCCAATTTTCCTGCTGAATTAATTCACTGTTGTTTGAATAGTTAATAATTAAATTATTCCTGCAGGAAATTTGATTTGGCAGACAATTATTTACTAATAAAAAAATATCTTAATTTGAAAGTATAAAAAAAAATACCCTTATATGTATATCCTTAGAATACCCACAGACATTTTTTATAGAAATGTGTACATAATAATTATTTACAAACATAAATATAGTTGAAGTTATTATATTTTTATTTGTTATTTTAAGCCTGAAATTTAAAATTTAAAAATTGTGATATAAAAATATTAAATTAACAATAATAAAAATTGAATGGCCAGCAGAAAAGTCCAACGGATGATGTGTAAACGAAATTGTTTCAAAAATATTTATTCTCGTGTAGAAGTACAAAATAACCAAATTCAGTACAACGTTCCCAAATTTCTAAATAAATTATTCATTACAGTGGCGGCGCGAAATATTTTTCTTCATGAGTCCTGTTAGGATTTTGCCCACCCATCCACTCACCTAAAAAGAAATTTAAGGTTAGCTTGTAAATAGAGCTCCCCCACTATTCGTTCTACATGTTACTTACCCACTCGATACCCAATGGTCAATACCCACACACCTACTCACCCATTGACTTGAGTCCAAGGACTCAAAAATCTGCCGTCACACCGCCACTGATTCATTATATATTAATTATTAATAAATTATAATTTATTTATTATTAATAAATTTTAAATTAATTACTATTAATTAAATTGAAATCAATTACTATTAATTAAATTTAATTATTAATTTATCAACATAAATTAAATTGAAAAAAAATATCTTATAATAATTATAAGAATTACAATTCAATATAATTCAAATAAATACAAAGAATAACAATTATTGTAATTTAAAGTTCTAATTAACTCCTTGTTTACAAAATAATTTTGATTCAAGAAACAAAAATATTATTTGCTATTTAAAAGAAACATAAATATGATTGATGTTATTGTATTTATATTTGTTTTTATAATGTAAATTTATAAAACGAATAGTGATTCTCGGACATTTGATGGCTTTTTAGTTTAGGTAAGGGAAAAAATATAATTTAACTACAAAAACATTATTATAAAATAAATTTAAATTTAAAATTATATAAAAGTATTCAAGGTATCTAAATTAGAAAATAAGAAATTACAGGAATACACTTTAATTAAGTTATTTCAATGTAGGTATTATTTATATTACCGAGATTACCTAAGAGTCGCTAGGTTTAAAAATGTAATGTTTAAAAGACAATAAAATATATGAATATAATTGAAATTTTTACATTGAAGTCAAAATTTTAATTTTATTATCTAAAAAAAATGGTTTCTACGGTGTCTTGAGAACATTTGATTTAGATGAATTACTAATTAAACAAACATAAAAATAATTGAAATTAAAATGTATATTAAAAATGGTGTCCGGGAACAATATAATTTTAGTTATTATATAAAATATCATATATAATAGTAGTATAATAATATAATATATAAATATATTATATTCTAGACTTTATTGTTATTATTTTTCTTACTAGGTACATTTAATTTCTGACCTATTACCTAAATAATAGGTACATTGTTAAGAAATATAGCATTAACGTGTGACATTGAACATAAATTGCCTACCTTCATTGATAGCGCCGGCGTGTCATCAAAAAATACAATTTAAAAGTAAATGTTAGCTACCTATTTATTCGCAATAAAAAATTGAATTTAATAATTTAAATAGTACAAAACTTCATTCAATAAAATACTAAGATATGTTATCAATTTAATTGTTAACATTCAACCTCACTTAATTTTTCATTTTAAAAAATGGTTTTTAGCTCAACTATTTTTGTTTACCCGTAGTATGTGCGAAAATATTTTTAATGTAACAATACACAATAATATAATATCTACTACAATACCTATACGTTATTTAATTTCACTATTCCTCATTAAAATGTTTTGGTAATTCCTGATGTTTCCTGTATAATTATCCTTATATTCTGGCATTGTGTTGCTGATGTATTTATTTTTCTGTAATACCTCATTTACAATTTTCTATATTTTACGTGTCCCCATGCGCGTAACTTGGAAATTTATTAGGGGGGGGGAGGGGGCAAATATATAATTACTTATCTAACGAAAAGGGTGTCCATGGCCTCAATGGAATAATAAGTACAATAATAAATGGAATAAGTGGGTACCTAATCAAATTATTCTTTAACTGAAAATGTATCTTCGTAACTCAAAAAAAACAATATACACACAAGTACATTTGAATATTTTCAGATTTACATATATATATATTAGTTATATTATATATGTTAGTATATTTTATCTATAATATTGATATAATGACCTACCTATTAAGATAAATTTTACACCATAAAAAATGATAATTTTAATTGAGTTAGAACAGTGGGGTCGGCAACTAATATTTCTTTTACTGCGGCCCGCAGTAAATTTCAAAACTAGCAAACGTCTTTGAATATCATATACATTTTTTATATTGTCTGACCCTAGAACCATTTTTAATTTGTGAATGTGGCCCAAAGGTTCATAAAGGTTGCCGACCATTGAGTTAGAACATATTATTTTTAATAAAATAATTGCTTGCCGGTAATAATTGACTTGAAGTCAACAGAAAGGTTGGAAACTAGTAACTGACTTGTTATTGAGTGAACGTCAAAACTATTAAAATTTTTTAAAATAAAAGTCTAATAAATCTTATAAAAATTATTATTATCGAAAAACAATTTCGTTATTGCATATCTTGCACGACCGTATCTACCCATACCAACATTTTCTTTTGGTTAAATGTTGTTTGAACAAACGCGAATGGTACGTCGTATGATTAACATATTGTACACATCTTTTGTATTCAAATTTCCTAAAACTTTTCTATTTATAAATATTGTGATGAAATCATTGTTATCAATCGGCCTATCGCGACATTAAATATGTTCAATTTTCAAACTCCGAGTTATCTAATCCTGTGTCACCGCATCCTTTAGTAATGTCATGTTACAAGGCGATATTTTTTATTTTATTTTAAGAATAGAAGATAGACGCATAAAATTAAAAACAAAAAATCTAAGTAATTTTAATTAACCAAAATTACAGCAGCCCACTGGGACATATCCCGGTGCTACGGTGGCCTATTTTAACCCTGTCCGCGGCTAAATGACACTTTACTACCTACATATTATAATACAAAATTATTCATTTTCTAACATTATTTTAGATATGCGAAAATTGAAAATTAAGATTTAAAAAAAAAATTATATAGTAATAGCTATAACTAGCTGTTTTGTATTTATTTTAAAACAAGGTATGTTAATTATCGGGGGGGGGGGGGGCCCCGCCCCCTCCTTATTTATTTTAGGGGGGCAATTTCCTCCGCTTTTCCATCAGTTTACACCTATGCGTGTTCCCGACGTTTTTTTTTTTTTTTTTATATTATTTTTCTTCAAATGTTTTATGCATTAATTAATAGACTTCAGGTAAATGAATAAATGCTTTATTATATTTTAGTGTTTATACTATCCATGTTAAAATAATTTTCATGATCTATGAAAAAAAAATTAAAAATAGGATTTTGAAAATATTTTTATATGGTCGCAAAAAATGTTACAAATGCCTACTTGAAAAGTTGCACACCAGAAAAATAAAATATGATATCTTTGGAATTAAATATCTGAAAATAGTTATATAAAGTAAAATCTATGATAATTATTTATTACAATTGTTGATTTGAATTTATTTTTTCTAATTGAATTATATTATAAAGTTTTTATTTTATCATAAACAGTTTCTAAATATTGATTAGGATCAATTCTATCATTATTTTTTCAACATACTTTTTTTTTTTTTTAGGTATCCAAAAGGTCGAGAAAGACCTTAAAAAATTATGACAGCGGCTGATTACAGTTACAAATTTAATTAAAAAAAACTATATGATGAATCTATAACCTAATATTTAAAAACAATACATTTGTATAATAAACAAATTGTATTTGTTTGTATATGATACATGTATATTTTTTCTTAAGGTCATTTCATAATAAATGCAATACTGAATACCTACTTTATTGTATTTTATTGAAGTCTCCTTGTCAACCTCTAGTGTATAATAATTAATAAGTATTGTTTTCATCACTTATGTGACTATACATACAAACACACATACACATATGTATATATATATGTGTTTATTTCAAATATTTAATATTTAGGTAATATAAATAACTGTAGAATTACTGCACATAAAGTGATGACACAATTCTTAAAATGAGATAGGTACCTATGCGTTTTTAGTTTTTAGTTAAAATATTTTGAAAAAATGAATTGAAACAATATCAATTAAAATAATAATGCTCACTACTTTTAAATTTGCAAATAAATACGAATTAAATATTTAGATACAAATAAAATCCATTTAACTAACAAATTATATATTTATTAAATAAATTAATTTCATAATAAAACTTATATTTTATGAAGTTAAATTATAATTAATTAATTAATAGGACATCGCTAGTTCCTTTTTATTGTTTTGATCATATTTTTCCAAAATTCTATAAATCATTTAAATAACGATTCTACGTGTGTAACTTTATAGGTACATGAAAAATGAAAATTTTCGATTCTTCAAAATTCATACACCTTATGAAGAAAAATAAATAATAGTAACCGAACTGGATTTTAAATTTTTGGATACAAAGTAAAATAGTTTAGTACTAACTAGTGCTCTTCACGGTCCGTAATTTTAGGGACCAGACCGGTCTGAAAATGATAGAAAAGGATCAAAGTCGGACCGAACCGATTTCTACATTTAAATGTAGACCGAACCGGACTGAAAATTTAAAATAATTTGTTATACCTTAGGTCTGGGTTTTATGCAAATGTATATTCTTCTAGAATTCACCTAGAATAATTTTGATTACAAATGTCGACGTCTCGCATTATATAGATTCCTATGGATAAATTTTTGTATTTGTATATTTTGAATATTTGAGAAACAATAATAATACATTGGATATTTTCTAAATTTAAACTATCGCAAGTATTGTCTAATAATCCAGGGTATTAATTATGGTACATGACAATCGTTAAAGCTTCCATTTTAAAAATCTGAAATCATATTTTGTTATTTCGTGTTGATATTCGTTCCAAAATTAATATTTTTTGTTGTTAATTCTGAATTTATATAATTAATTAATGATTACTTGTTTCGTAATCTGTAAAATAGTAAATTCTAATAATTGATACCATGTAACATAATTGAAATGATTTTTGTATGCATAAATATGTGCATGTTCATCAATATTTTTTTTGCATAGAAATTCGAGCTTTAGTTATAACATTATATTTACTACCGCAGTGTTACATAGAGCAGTTTTCAAGTCAATTAAAATTCTAATGTATACCTACTAGGATTAAAAACCGTTGTTATTGAGTGATGCGTGAAAGTAATCGAAAAAAATTGTATCATTATATTGTATTACATAATGATATAATTCTCAAATAAGCCTGACTGAATTAAACAAATGTTATTACAATTTACCACGGTATATACCCGATTATTTCTTCAACTGTAAAACAATTTTACCACAATTATTTCCATTAGCTTTCTTTCATAATATTCTGTGATATTTAATGTAGACAACAAAAAAGAAAAAGGAAAATGTGTAATTAAAACGTGATATAGTAGGTAGTAATTGGCAAACTATTAAAAGTTTATTTATTTTATGAATAGACGGTAACTTCACCTCTAATGTTAAAAGTAAAAATTGTCTATGAACTACGTGTTTCATTGTAACGTTGCTCAAGATCATAACGTATTGTAGGCAAATATTTTCATAATTCGTAAATTATGATAAAGCTGTACCTGTATTATTCTATAATCAAGAAAATAATATAATCAAAATTAATTCAGTGATGGCGGTTGTAATAAATTATTGCATACAATCTACATACATATTATTATCGTTATTATAATCATAATAAAAAAAATGGCTATTGAAAAATAATATATATTAAATCTAAATAAACTGTCCGTATGAACAGTAATATATTATAAAAAATTTTGAGTTGGAAGTGACAAGCATTTAATACATTAAATGTATGCATTAAACATAATGTTACAAGGAAAAATCAATTAAGCAAAATTGTATAATATCCATAAAAGGTAAAATATAAAATTAATTGCCTAAAAATTACATTTACAGGCCCAGTAAACTCCCAATCCAGTCCTGGTCTATGTCATATTGGATTTGACTTCTAACAGTTTTTATTAATAATTAAGTGTTTAATGTCATAGTTAATCAAATATGACCTTTGTATCAAAGTACAAATACGAACGGTAAAATGGTTAATGCGTCATAGTTACGATCCGGACGTACGAGTATAGTTGGTTTTATTTGTCGTTAAGTATGATGTCCTGACCGTTTATTTTTCATTACAAATATTCATCATAGTTACCGCTATTATTATTATTGTTGATTGTTTTGTCTTATTTCCACATGTTACATTCATGTAGAATTTCGTTTACAATATATTGTGATTAGGTACTTATAACAGTAATCACCAGTTGATCAACGTCAAGAGGTACCATATCACAATTTTTACACTCTAAAAAGATTGCTTTTGGGTTCATATTATTATTTAATGTTAATACTTTTGGATTATCGTTTAGTTTAGTCATATTAGTAAATTTTAGAAAATAATTATAGATAAATATTTTTTTTATTTTTTCAGTAAAATCATCAATATTTACGTAGTACAAATACAAAATATAATTTAAACGATTATCAGTCTGTAAAATGTTTGTATTGCATATTGTGTATGTTTGTTACGGGCAACATATTAAAATTTGAACAATGTCGTGTCGAAATTAGCCATATACTACAATTTTATTCGTATTATTTTATTTTATTGAAAAATTTTAAAACACTTGAAAACTACACGCTCTTAAATTATAAATATTACGCATATAAGCGTGTCTACAGACTGTGCCTTTCATATAAATGCACGACTAGAACAGTTTAATTTTTATTGCACTATCAACTATTGATAGTTTAAAATTATGATTTCAATAAGAAGACATTTAGAATTTTATTTTATTTGTAATAATAATCGTATATGTATTACTAGGTGATAATAATTTTTTCGAAATTTGAAGATAATATTTTCTTTCTCTTTGGGTAACTCACTATTTGTCTTGTGAACGATGTACTAAAATAAGTCTAGACACACCTATGGTTACGCAGATATGTAAAAATAGACTGGCTATAGTTAAACCTCATGCATTTTATAGCATATACAATTACAACTGAAATTGTATGCTAAATATTCATATATTTTAGGCTATAATTAAGATAAATTATATTATAATTATAATTTAATATAAATAAGTTATTAACTCTGACAGTTCGGTCTTCAGATTAGCCTCAGTTAGTAAATATGATTTGACACGTTTCTGACTATTTGTTAGGTCTATTTATGACCGATTTCTTATTGTTCTCAAATTTTTCTTTAATTCTTCTTAAGTACAATTCTCAAACAAAAATTGTCGTGTGTAATTTGACAAATTGTTTGCATTATTGTTTTCGTTTTGTTTAACATTAAATATTTCCTAATATGTACGTAAAAACCAAGAACTTTCTCCAGTGACACCGATGTCTGTTTCATAAGATATTTGTGTAAAAATAATATCTAAATATAATTGCAATACATGATGAGTAAATTGAGTTTTAACAGTCTTTTATACGAAATCCATACTTCTATAAATTGTACATCCAGTATCGGTGTATCTCGGTTCACCGCGGGATAATCCACCTCAATTATACACTACATCCGCAATACGTATCGTAACTCGTAAATTTTTTCACACGTTCGTCAATTTTCAAATTAATATTCTTTATTTTTAATCGATAGCACATACGAATATAAAAAAAAAAAAGAGTAAAATATTTGACCAGTCAAATGTAGTTTAGAAAAATGTATTACTATTATTATTGTCAAGAGTTACCGATAGACAGTAGACAATTATAACAACCGTGTAACAGTCAGTTCGACCGTTAAACATTGTAAGACGTACTGCTGAATTTGAACGTTTCGCCTTTCAGCCATAACATGTTTACCTTGGCTAAGCTTTCGTACATCGTGTGCAATGAGGACGAGAAGTTTTTTTACGACGATCTAAAAACGGTGCCAATTGAAGTGGAACAGTGTTGCACGGATGTACTGAACTACATCAAGAACCAAACAGCCGAGACGAGCAACGAGGCGACAATTTTGCCCGATGGTAATTAAAATGAGATAGAGAAAGAGAGAGATTAAAAATAATATGTCACGGTGACGGTGGAAGTGTTGGTTTTAAATTCTATTTTTTCTCATCGTAATCCTTCGCAGCATCGAAAGACGGCGATGGTTCTTCGCTGACGTCGTTGATCGAGGATGCGGCGTTCCACGGTCACTTGGAATGTATGCAATTTGCCGAGAGGTGCCATTTCCCATGGACCGTCGACGTGTGCGAGCAAGCGGCGCACAACGGGCATCTGGAGTGCTTAGCGTACGCGCACCGCCAGGGATGCCCGTGGTCGGAGCAAACGTGCGAGAACGCCGCCGCGAACGGTCAGCTGGAGTGTTTAGCGTACGCGCACGAGAACGGATGCTCGTGGGACGGGTCGGTGTGCACGAGTGCCGCGCAAAACGGTCGGCTGGAGTGTCTGATGTACGCTCACCGGAATGGTTGCCCGCTGGACGAGACCGTGTGCGAGCTGGCCGCGGCCGCCGGCCACCTGGAGGCGCTGAGGTACGCGCACGAGAACGGCGCTCCGTGGGATGCGGTCACTTGCCGTGACGCTGCTTTCCGCGGCCAGCTGGAGTGTTTGCGGTACGCGCACGAGCACGGGTGCCCGTGGGACGCTGACACGTGCGAGTACGCGGTCGAAGGCGGTCACTTGGAGTGTTTGCGGTACGCGCACGAGCACGGGTGCCCGTGGGACGCGGCCACGTGCGAGGCGGCGGCCCGCGGCGGCCACGCGGAGTGTCTGCAATACGCGCACCAGAACGGCTGCCCGTGGGACGAGAGCACGTGCAGCGCCGCCGCGACCAATGGCCGCACCGCGTGCTTGAAATACGCGTTGGACAACGGTTGCGCGTGGGACGCGGAAATATGCCGCGACGCCGCTGCCTCCGGGCGCCTGGAGTGTTTGCAATACGCGCACGATCACGGATGCTCGTGGGACGCGTACACGTGCGACGCTGCGGCGCGCGGCGGTCACATCCGGTGTCTGAGGTACGCGCACGAACACGGCTGCCCGTGGGACGAGTTCACGTGCGACAGCGCCGCGGACAACGGCCGTGTGGAATGCCTCATGTACGCGTTGGACAACGGTTGCGCGTGGGCCACGGCCCCGTGCCCGACGGCCGCCGAGAAGGAGCGCATCGAGCGCTCGAAGCGCGTCCGCGATGAAATTATTTCGTGGCACGGTGGAGTAGCACCGCGTGGTGACGCGCTTGTTGGGAGTGTTGTTTTATTTTCGAATTCGAGGTCGAGATCGATCGCTCCTGTGCACTGGGAATTGTTAGCGTCCCGGTGTAACGTTTAAAACGAATACGATCAGCGATTGTGTTTTGTTCGTGTTGCACTGCTCAATTTGCTCAATTGATTAAATATTGAATTACTGAAAAAATATATTTATTTGTTTTAATTTTATTTTTGTTTTTTATTTGTTTTTATTTGTTTTTTTTTATTTTTATGTTTTTTTATTTTTATTTGTTTTTAAGTTTTATTTGTTTTTTTTTTTAAGATTTTATGGGACGAGCTTTTAAAATACAGAGACGAAAGGAAAACATTTTATCACCCATTAGTTTTTTCGTTTTATAAATACGTATCCTACCTAATATTCGATTTTATAGTATGAAACGCTGATATCTTATAGTATTTAACGATGTGTTCGTGTTGATAATGATCATGAAGATATCATAAATTGAAGTGAACGAAAAACACGATTGTTTTGGGATTATTAAACAATTTCTTTGATTATTCGATATACAGTGGACGCCACTTGCAAGACTCACGGATATAAGGTTCAGTCGCTTAATAGACTTAAAGTCGTCTAGAATGGTCTGGGCGAATCCAAATACATTATAAAAAATTCGTTTATAAGACTCCAATTTTGTAAAAAAAAAAAAAAAAAAATAGTAGAAAATGAAAATTTTTGATTGAAATTTTAAAATAAATTGGTTTTTACAATAACATATTTTGTAGATTATTACTAGTTTCGATTTATGCTTAATAATATGTGTATATACAACAAATTTTATCGCATTATTTGAATTAAAATAATTAGTTTTTAAATTATTTGTCACTTTAATAATAAAACACTTTTAATAAAACTATTTTTTTTTAATTTTTCAGCTGCCCCCCTCATCTAAATGTAAATATTAAGAATATCTGAGAGGGGTGCATTCAACTAACTAAAAATTATTTTAAAATTTTTTTTAAATATTGTTGCATATATTATTAAATAGTAAATACACATCTTATTATTTTAGAATCATTTAATTAATAAAACATATTAATTATTAATTTAATAATATGTTAAAAATTGTCACGGAAATCAGATAAGGATCTGAACAGAAATGTAAAGAATAAGTCATACGCTGGCAGTTTACCGTCATACAATTATTTTGTTATAAACGTGTCGTCGTGCGAGTCCGACTTTAGTAATGACATTTTGAAACATACGTAATTTTTGGTCTGTCTCGATCTTTTTTTTTACCAATCAAAATAATTAATTTTTACAACAGTAACAGTGACGCAGCACGACAATGAAACAATAAATATATTTAAATATCACTACATTGTTATCGTTTTTCGACTTCGGTAGCGATAGGATGGGGGGGGGATGAACCGGACCACCACCACTGAACCGTGAGAACCGTTTGTCGCCGTTCCAGCAGCTGACTCGCGAAAACATTGCGAGCTCGCCAGCTGATCGCTATCAGTCACCGCCCGTCCGCAGCACCCGTCACACGCCCGGTGGAGACCCGTGTCGCAAACGTCTAGTGATATTGTGTACATTATTACCGCGTCTTACCGTATGGTCGCGGAGCAATAGCAACAGACGTATCTGTCAGTCGTCCGCGTTCCATCTCCCGCCGCTTAACGTGTTCTTCTCCATTCGTCGTCGTCATGTCACTCCGCACCGGTTACCGTTTGTCTCCCGTGTTCATTCCCTCGGCCGCCGTCTGAAGCGCGCGCGCGCGTTCCCGTTCCGTTTTAGCGAACCGTCGCCGTCCGTCCGACACTGTCCGGCCGTCGACCCGGTGCAAGAAGTTTTCAACCGAACAACGGTCGCCCCAGACCCGCGGAGCACGTCAACACTATGTCGAAAATGAACACGTTCATGTTGAACAATAACAAGTGAGTCGCAAACGTTGAAAGTTTCAACTTGAAACGCACTTGGATACGTATATACCCGCTCACCGATTCGGATCATGTGTGTTCTTTGACGTCAACACTTTGCTAGTGTTTCTTACCGTTCCTCGGTGAACAAGGTCCAACGTGTTGGTTATCCGATGTGTCTTGTATAAGGTTTACGTTGCGAACATATGTCAGCCACTAACGTTTCTCACTCGTTTTCCACCTTCCTCCGACTGGAAGTTGATAAACACTTGTGCGGTAACGGAATGTCCATGCTGTCTGTACATCCTAGTTTTTATCTCAACGCTGTCTACTTTAAAACAGCCATGCTCCTTAGGTTCTGTTAGTAAGACATTATTTCAATCGGTACAGCAATA